TAGTTCTGCAATACTTAATTTACTTAACGAATAATAAAGTCTGGAGTGACTTTTCTAGCATTTGGTAATGGGTCGCCTGATATTTTTAGCACTTTTAGCGCGATGACACACGATTCTTGTTCTTTAGCTGGCGGTGAACTTATCGGTGCCGCAAATTTTATAACGTCTGTAGTCGCCGGTTCCATGGCAGTTATAACACCATTTCAGTTCCATTCCTCCGAGACGTGATCTCTTTTTCTACAGCGATCTCATTTACTCTTTATTATTTGGTATGGGTATATTTATTGGTGGGAGTGCATAAGCTTGGTAATATTTTACATTATCTATGTTACTGTAGTTGTCGTAGGAAACTGGGTTGTAAAAAAACGTAAAAAAAGATTGTTAGAGCCTGCGATGATAGAAAATGAATTCATTAACAAACCTGAAGAATTTGGTAAAGTTAAGATATAATAATTAATATTAATAGTTTTTTTGGGCTATATGTTTATTATTATTATTGTTTTCATAGACCATGTAGATGCTTATGATTATGATTCTTACTATGAGACAGGTCTTTTATTACCAGAAGGCGAACGCAATCCTGATTATACTAATGGGATAATTTCACAAATGTCATTGACATTGGCACCTCCTTTGTTGCCATATGATGACTTTGAAAGACCAATTTGTTCTCTCCAAATTCAACTCGATCCACAAATGATGTAATAGATCAATCTAAACATTTACATCACCAATATGGTACTACAAGACCTACGAAGGTACCAATTAATCGTAGGCCATCATTGTTAAGAACAATAGAGGTATGATGTGAACGGATTAATATGTTACTTTTTTGCATTTCTAATTATTATTTTAACTATTATAGATATTACTTGCGATAATTTTTTCTACAATTTAATTTGCTTAATATCGAGATGTGGTTAATTCTCTTAAGTTGGATAGTAGTAATATGAGACCCTTGCGGCAATTTAGACGAAGTAGAACAATGCCAATAAGTGAATAAAACAATTACAATTCAAACACAAGATGACTCTTCACTCAAAACACATTAAGTGTGCCTAATACACCACGATTTTTAACAATTCCACAATCTTTAAACCGGAGGACATTGTCATCTCCGCTAAATATATCACCATTAAATATACCCCTTCCAGAATATCTCCTTCTAGAATATCTCCTTCGTATGAATATTGCCAATCGCCCCAATCAGTAGAAACCAATCAACACTTTTTATCCGACATATCAATGCATTCATCACCTATACATTCACCATTATCATCCCCATTACTCGCCCAATCTTTAGTGCCATTACAAATATTATCATTATCATCATCATCATCAACTATTTGAAAAAAGTACAATCCACGATACTTGTACTCAAACTAACACTTCCTGTTGTGGAAGTCGAGGACATATCCTTGCAAGAAGAAAAAGAAAAAGATAATCAAGTACAATCTAGATACCCCGACACTCCTTCCATTGTAGTTAATGATGATCCCAATTCAGTTGTTGTTGATGAACCTGAGGATTATCCTATTAGATGGAATCGTTGGTTAACTGTAGTTCAATTTTTTTTCTTGCACCCCTGTTTATCTCAATGGTGTTATTCAGTAAGCGTTATTTCTTTTGATTTAAGAACCTATACTAATTATCGTATTTAACTAATATTATTATAAATTATTGAATTACAGGTGATGATCATACTTTATGCGTTTATATTTTTTATTCTTACTACGAGCGATGATCAACCCCAAAGTTTTATTCAATGTTAAGCTTTATGAGATTTGGTGTAGTGATTGTATGAATTTATCTCATAGCTAACGAAGTTGTTTGGTGTGTTACAGGTAGGCGCGCTACGTCATAAAATAACATATAAACCCAAGTACAATGACTTGATTCTATATTTCTTGACCTAGGCTTTAGGCTTAATTATGGGACTAAGTGATGAAATTCTTGGCCTAACGATATGTTTGCGATGGTATGGTTGAAATAATTACCAAAATTATTGTAAATTATGCCAAATTATTTTATATAATTAATTAATATATATTTTTTTTTTTTATTTTAAAGCGCAGTAGTCTTGGCGATTTTGTTGCCAATATTACTATTGTAAAAACCGGGCGCCCTATGATGACCATAAGTGCATGCTTTGGTAGTCCAATGTTGAGTATGTTTCATTTATATAATTTTTTTGTTTTAACTTTTTTTTTTTTTTTTTACATTTATTCATACGGTTTATAATGTAGATATTCTTTTAGGCATTGGCTTGAGTGGTACTTATGTGACAACCAAAACTGGGGTTCCTTACAAAATT